GATGAACTTAACCCAATTATAGAATGGCTAAACAAACAAAAGGCCAAACAAAAACAACAATGTTAAGTAAGTTGACCATATTGGTACACACATATATGTATGTATGTAGTGATGTTTAATACTCCCAAATTGTGGTGGTGTTGTTTTTTTTTATTTCTGTAAAATTTAAGGTGGGAAATTTTGCGGTTATTTATATACTCAAGTTATGACCTTAGATAAAAAAGACATGGAAAGAGGCCTAGGAGTGGAATTTTAATCGATGATAAATTAGTTAACGAATCTTGTGGTTTTTCTGCCAAAAACAATTTTTTAATAAAAAATTAAAACTGAAATTATTCCACCAAATTATAACAAAAATGATTCTACTCATTAGTCAAATGTTGTTAACATATGCCTCCAATAGTCAAGACCTTGTTTTGCAAAGTCAGACAGGTCATGTCTGAATTTTATGTTGGATGGCTGGAGTTTTGCAATTTTTGTTGTTACAATTTTTTTTTTGCATTTTTTTCTAAATGTTTTTTTTTCTATTTGCTTAAAACATAAAAAAATACCAATGTTACATTTATGATAACAAAATCCAACATGAGCCCACATATTTAAATAGAAAAAAAGTACGAAACACTCCTTTATATTTACATAAATTAAAATGGAATTATTTTTCTCGCAAGGTTAGTTTGAGAGAAAAAAAACGAAAGAAATCGTGGACTTAAGCAAATAGTTGTAAACCATTATGTTGCATTCAACTATTTACAAGCCGTCATGTTGTGTCCAACAGCGTCAGCAGGGTGTTAAGGTGTGTTACGGGTTCGATACAATTTTTATTTCGTAAATAGTTTTTTTATTTCTTAAAATGATTGAAAGTGTGTTGAAATCATGAAATAGTTGAAATTTCTATAAGGACTCAATTTGAATCGCAGATTGATCGCCGTTTGTTTTAAAAAGTATTTTTCAAGTCCTTCATAAGGCGTGGATATTTTAAAACATGTTTCTTTAAGGAAATTCCAAAATGTGGATTTTTCACAAAATATTATTTCAAGGCCTAAGGCGTGGATTTTTAAGGAATATTTATACCCTACACAACTATGTTGTCAGGGTATTATAGCTTTGTGCAGCCCCAAAAGTTTGTAACGCCGCGAAATATTGGTCTCGACTAGCTGAGTCGATCTAGACATGTGTGTCCGTCCGTCCGTCCGTCTGTCCATTATAATTTGTAAACACGATACAGGCCACAGTTATGGACCAATCTTCACGAAATTTTGCATGTAGGATGGGTTCTGGCCAATGAAGACCCCTATTGTTTTTGGGAAAGATCGGTTAATATTTAGGGGATGAAATGGACCAAATACTAAATTTTTGTCGGTTTTTCTGTTCGCTCCAGAGGCCGCAATAATGGCTCGAACATCTTGAAATTTTGCATGGAGAAGGGGATCGGGCTAAAGAATAAGCATGCATGTTTTGATAAAGATCGGTCAATATTTAGCGGGTCAAATGGACCCTGACTTTTGTGTGAAAAAGGACAAAATTTTTATTCTATAGCGTATATATTTGTCCCTGATGGACATAGACCCGAGAAGTTGATTTTATATCCACGAGGAGTGGTTGACCTTTAAATTAATACCAATTATATTGTTGTATGTGCTCGGATGTGGGAGTTACACCCAAATATTTACAGGTATTTCCGTATACGTATATTATTTAGTAACCCATTACCATACTGGAGGGCGGAAATATAGCGCTGATCGCTTTGAAATGTTCCATGAGGTTCCAGTTATGGTCAAGGACAACGCCTATAATTTTCGGTGATGATCAGATAATAATTTTGGAATGAAGTGGACCGAAAACTTAATTTTTTGTGTTATTTTCGAGTCGATTTATAGACGACAAAATAAAAGCCGAAGGAATTTGGAATTTGGAATAGCTGTACTGAATACTCGAAATATTCGGAAAATATGTCACTGTGAGGTGCTGTTTACCTCTAATCGGGCAAGAGGGGGAAAATATCACGAAATATTGCCCAGGCTCGGAATAAACATCCGCAAAAAATTTGAGTTCCGTGGTAGTTGTGTAGGGTATCATATGGTCGGCCCCGTCCGACTATACTGCTCCGCTCACTGGTTTTTCATATAGCTCCCATATATAATTTCGTCCGATTTAAGGTGAATGGTGTATCAAAGTCCCTATATATCATTCGATTTGTACGAAATTTGGCATAGCGTACTGAATTGAGTCTAGAATGATGTGTGTTAAGTTTCGTGAAAATCGGTTCAGATTTGGATATAGCTCCCATATATATTTTCGTCCGATTTAAGGTAAATTGTGTACCAAAGTCCCTATATATCCTTCGATTTGCACGAAATTTGACATAGCGTACTGAATTAAGCTTAGAATGATGTGAGTTAAGTTTCCTAGAAAATCGGTTCAGATTTAGATATAGCTCCCATATATATTTTCGTCCGATTTAAGACAAATGGTGTACCAAAGTCCTTATATATCTTTCGATTTGCACAAAATTTGCACAGCGTACTGAATAAAGCCTAGACTGATGTGTGTTAAGTTTCGCGAAAATCGGTTCAGATTTAGATATAGCTCCCATATATATTTTCGCCCGATTTTAGGTAAATAGTGCACCACAGTACCTATATATCTTTCGATTTGCACTAAATTTCGAATAGAGTGCTGAATTAAGTCTAGAATGATGTGTGTTAAGTTTCGTGAAAATCGGTTCAAATTTGGATATAGCTCCCATATATAATTTCGTCCGATTTAAGGTAAATTGTGTACCAAAGTCCCTTTATATGCTTCGATTTGCACAAAATTTGGTATAGCGTACTAAATTGAGTCTAGAATGATGAGTGGTGAGTTTCGGGAAAATCGGTCGAGATTTCGATATAGCTCCCATATATGTTCGGCCGATTTAAGGTAAATGGTGTACCAAAGTCCCTATATATCTTTCGATTTGCACAAAATTTGGCATATCGTCCTTAATTAAGTCTAAAACGATGTGTGTAAAATTTCGTGAAAATCGGTTCAGATTTGGAAATAGCTCCCATATATATTTTCGTTCGATTTTATGTAAATGGTGCACCAAGGTCCCTATATATCCTTCGATTTGCACTAAATTTCGTATAGAGTGCTGAATTAAGTCTAGAACGATGTGTGTTAAATTTCGTGAAAATCGGTTCAGATTTAGATATAGCTCCCATATATATTTTCGTCCGATTTTAGGTAAATAGTGCACCAAAGTCCCTTTATATGCTTCGATTTGCACACAATGGCTTAGCGTACTAAATTGAGTCTAGAATGATGAGTGATGAGTTTCGAGAACATCGATCAAGATTTCGATGTAGCTCCTATATGTTCGTCCGATTTTATATAAATGATGCACCAACGTCCCTATATATCCTTCGATTTGCACAAAATTGTACTGAATTATGTTTAGCAAGATGTGTGTTAATTTTCGTGAAAATCGGTTCAGATTTAGATATAGCTCCCACATATAGATTATATTTTTAACAACGCGGCGTACCGAATAGCGTGTATCAATTTTGCTATAAATCGTTTTCCATAAATTTTCCCCATGTTACGCAGACGGCTCTAAATCTGCTCGAATGAAATTAAAGTTAGGATAGATTGGAAAAAGAAGGAACATAGACATGCAATTGTTAGGATACATATGTACAATATACCCAAAAAGGTGAAGGGTATCATATAGTCGGCCCAGTCCGACTTTACTACTTTCCTTAATGGTTTTCTAAGGCCAACATATCCCAGGCGTGGATTTTTTTAAAGAAAATTTTTCTAAGGCCAACATATCCAAGGCGTGGATTTTTTTAATGGCTCCAAAAGGTGTGGATTTTTTAAAGAATATTTTTCGAAAAAAAAAAATAAATTTTTTATGAATATAAAAATAAAATTTCGTAAAACATTAAATTTTCTACAAAAAAACCTTTAAACCTATTAAATCCAAACAATTAATTTTCCCCTAATGACAGCTGCCTGTCATCCAGTCATTACAGAATTGACCTATATATATTTTTTGTTCACACTCTGCGGTGCTGCAATCAGAAATTTCATTTTAAAAACTATTACAAAGTAAACAAAATACAATAACAAAATCACACAAGCACAGCATGTAAAAAACTGAAGCCAATAAATGAACTAGCCATTAATTATTAAACAAAAAATAATAAATGAAATAAAAATAATAATAATTGTTGTATCGTGTCGAAAAGGTATCAAAGGATTGTTTTTGTTGTTGTTTTCTTTTTATATTGATTAATTAAATTTTTTGCATGAGTGATATTGGAGCGTAATGGTGTTTTTACATACATACCTGAAGAGAATGCTTGGAAGACGTTATTTTTTTAAGTATTGCTCAATGTGATGGGGGTTGGTAGTATGTACAGTGGTGTTTCTGAAAGAAATGTTTCAAAAGTAACATTTTTTTATGATAATAAAATTGCAATGAAACTTATTAAAAAATTTTAATTTCAATGACATTGTTTTTGAAATTTGATTTTATTGAAATGTTTTACAAAAACAAATAAATAAAATAATAATAATAAAATTTACCAAAATTTTTCATAAAAAAACAATAAAATTTTCCTTAAAATGTCACCAAAATAAAAAAAAATAAAAATTTCGCTAAATATTTCAATGAAACTAAAATTTCTATGAAATTTTCCATTGAAATTAAATTTTAATAACAATTTTAAAGTTTTCATCATTTAAATTACATTAAAGAAAGAATTAAGCTACATTTACACGATTGAAGGCATTTTGACGTCTCATCAAAATTTTGAAAATCTATTTTGAAGTGCTATTTACACGTTTCAAAAATTTGATCAAAATATTCTTTCAATATATTTCAAAATATTTTGATCAAAGTTTGATCAAAATTTTTTGAAGCTAATTTACACTATTGGCATTTTTTATATTGAAAATATTGACTTTGAACAGCTGTTTTGATTATTTTGAGAAATAGTTTAGTATTAATAACTATGGACGACGACACGGTCATCATATCATCAGCATTTTTAATATTGGAGGAAGAAGTAGCTGATAACAACGAAAAAAAAAGAAGAAAACAAAAGCAACATTGGGTTCGGCCTTTTCTTTTGGAAGGTGATGGAGTGTATGTTTCCTTTAGGGAGCGATTGAAACGGAATGATCCCGAGCTATACAAAAACTTTGTACGAATGTCACCAGAAGATTTTGATTATTTGCTGGAACTAGTCACTCCATTAATAGAAAAGGCCAATACTAATATGAGGGAATCTATATGCCCTGGAGAACGCCTGGCAATAACATTGAGATTTTTAGCGACTGGGGACAGCTATGCAAGTCTGATGTTCTTGTTTAAAAGATCGAGATCATCGATATGCAATATTGTACCTGAAGTCTGCACTGCATTATATAAAGTATTAAAAGATAAATTTTTAAAGGTAAACCCGAATTTATTAAATAAAAAACATATTAAAAACAATATATATTAATGCAGATGCCAGCAACAGAGGAGGAATGGGAGAGAATTTCCCATAGTATAAATAAAACTTGGAATTTTCCCAATTCAATCGGGGCACTAGATGGAAAACACATCGATATTATAGCACCAGCGCACTGTGGAAGCGCATATTTCAATTATAAAAAGAAAAACAGCATTGTTTTGATGGCTCTTGTGGTCGCAAATTACAATTTTGTTTACATCGACGTTGGTGCAAAGGGCAGAGAGTCCGATGGCGGTGTATTCAGTAGATGTTCGCTATCGAATGGATTATATACTAACACGTTAAATTTGCCGCATCCAAAACCACTGCCCTGCAGACAAAAACCAATTCCATATGTAATTGTTGCAGATGATGCGTTTCCCTTAAATTCCAATATTATGAAACCATATAGTTTTCGGAATCAAAACACGAAGGAAAGAATTTTCAATTACAGGTTATCCAGATTTAGGCGTGTTTCGGAAAACGTGTTTGGATTAATATCAGCCCGATTTCGCGTTGTCCGAAAAACAATGGAACTTTCTCCACCAAATGTCGTCAAAGTTGTTCTTGCAGTATGTGCATTACACAATTTTTTGAACAAACGCAAATGTGGAACATATGCACAACCAAGAGATTACGACCAAGTGAATGCGGATGGGTCTATAACGGATGGACGATGGCGTGAAGAAGTGCGACCTGAGAATATATTATCTTCGGTACAACCATTGTGCAACCAAGGACGTCAAAGCGAAACATCCAAGCTCATTCGACAAGAATTCACGGAATATTTTTCAAATGAAGGAGAAGTTCCATGGCAATACAAACATATTTATTAAAAAATCCAATTAAAAGAAAAACGTTCAATTCATTTATTTGTCAACTTAAAATTACATACTGTTTTTGTACAAAAAATTAAATTAAAATATTAAAAAGAAATCACATTCAGTTCACATATAAACTATAAAAATAAAAATATTAAAAAGAAATCAAATTCAGGTCACATAAAAAGTATTAAAATAACGAAAAGTTAATTGTTTTCATCTGCTTCAAATGAGTCGATAGCATTATTAATTATAGTTCTCAGTCTGAAAATAAAAAAAATGTATCAAATATTATTTGAGTACTATTCATTTCAAACTCACCTGCGAGCATTTGATTCTGAATATGAAGAAAGCTGTTGCCCAACATATTCTCCATAGCTCTTCTGCCAACTTATGCCTTCTTTTCCTTGGGACACTTTCTGCGATAGAAATTGGCCAAGTTTTTCGTAAACTTCTGAACGCTGGCTGTCGATACCGTTTACTTCTTGTACTTTTCTACGCTTTGCAGGAGTAGAACTTGCAATTGAAGTGTGAGATTCCGAATTTTGAAACTGGTCTTCAACCTCATCCCAATCTTCAAAAGCTGAACTTGATAAGGTCTCGAAATTTGATTCTGTACCTCCCGATCCACGATTTCTCACAGTATCTAAAAAGTGTAGAGCTGCAAAATATTCATATTTTGATACATACGTAGTGCCACCTTGTCCACTTTTGGAGGTATTTATTTTTTTGTGCTCCGCCTTAAATGTATAATAATATTTGTAAATTTAAACAAAACAAAAAAAATAACAATTTACATTATAACGTGATCGCACAGCGTTAAATTGCGATTTACAGTCGGCTATGCAATGATTGGTTGCAGTAGAAATTTCTGACCAGCACTTCTCCTTTTCATGCCGGTTTCTGTATTCATCAATTTTGTAGTTCCATATCGGCGGGCGTTCTTCAACCATTTCGATGAACAGTCTCAGTTCATCTCCTGTCCACTTTTTTTGTTGCTTGCGATTGTGGCGCACGTTATCAATATTAAAAATATATTTATATAATACATCACAAATATATTTTTATTAAATATATAATACTTACCAACTCATATTAATTTATTTATTATAATTTAGTTCCAAATTGATTTTACACTGCCAATTTTTATTACCAAATGCCGCCACAAAAATATGTAAACAAAAACATATGATATGTAATGATCAAAAGAATGAACATGCTGTCAAAATATTTCTAGTCGTCAATATTGCCAGATGCAATTTTGAAGCGTATTTACACGGCATCAATAAAATTTTCAAAAGTTTTGTTCAATAAATTTTGATCAGTAAATTTTGAAGAAATTTTGCTGTTTACACGAGTTTGAAGCATTTTGAAGACAAATTTTGAAGAAACCTTCAATCGTGTAAATGAAGCTTTAGCCAGGAAATAAACAAAAGACTTAAGCAACAAACATGTTTCCTATCTCTCTCTCTCTCTCTGCTACATTTAGTTAATGAGAAAACAGCATCAATGCCTTGCTTGATTTGTTTTGATTCTCTCATTTGATGTGTAGTTGTTGTTGTTTTGCAACATAAATTATGCAGTGGAATAATTACCGTTATAGTTTACTCTGTAAGAAAAAAACAACAACAAAGGCGTTGGCGGTTGTGTGAGTAATTGTGTGTGTGTGATTGTTGTTGTTATTATTATTTTGCCATAAATTATGGTGTTATTATGTGACCAGAAATATATCCGGCATTTTCTATTATGAGAGTAAGTGAGATGAGTGTGCGCAGTGCTGCCAGTTAAATTTTATGAAAAATCGTCAATTTTTCAGAAAAAAATCGGCATAATCGGCATTTGTATTTTTAAAAATCGGCAAAAAATCGGCAGCATATAATTTATAAATAAATTCATATTTTTTTGGTTTATAACAAATCAATATTGTTTATTACATTAAAAAAAGATAACAAATTCAATTCTGTATAAAAAATAACATAAAAGATTCATTTTTCTACAAAAATGTAGATTTTTCTAAAATATATTAATTATGGTATGGTGTGGTATTAAGGTCATAAAAATAACTTTAAAACTAGTACATATTAGTATTACACATTTTTAGTAATTCATTATCAATTTTGATATTAAAACAATTTGAATTATTTAGTTTGAGGTAATCTTTAGAATAAAGAATCCCTTCCAATGAATCATTCTCAAGTGAGCTTCTAATTTTAGTTTTGTTAAGGTTTACCTGACTAAAAATTCGTTCCACATTTGCTGTGGAGTGTGGAAGAACCATAATTCTTTGTACAAATTTAGACAAAACTGGAAAAGCTAAATTGGAGTCCCCACGTTTAATTTCGGAAATTAAAAAAAAAAAACTTTTTAAATTATATTCTGCATTTTCAAAAAATTCTTCAAAATTCAGAAAGTTTAACTTCCTAAACTCAGAGTCTAAAGATTGCCTCTCAGTTTCAAAAATAAAATCGGGGAATTCTTTTAAAATATCTAGAAAAGAATTATTGCCCTTCTTCATTACTCTTCCAGGATCAATAAGTTTTAAGCATTTAAATGAATTTAAATTAAAATCAAAACGTTTTAATATATCTGACAAAAAATGCAGATATCTAAGCCATTGAAAACGGCTGCGGCGAGTCGCCGATAGTTATAATGATTTAAAGCTGCCAATTTGATATGTTTGTATGGTAACGCCGTATTAAATTAAAAAGTTAGACAATTTGTGTCGATTGTTGAAATATCGGCAATTCTGAGGCAAAAATCGGAAAATCGGCATTTTCCATTTTTAGAGTGAAAAATCGTCAAAATGCCGATAAATCGGCAAATATGGCAGCCCTGAGTGTGCGTGTTCGTCTGTGTGATTGACAACATATTTGACATTATTAAACAACTAAATTATGAGATGTTGCCACAACAAATTGTGCGAAGATAAAAAGGAAACTGACACATAAACTGATATTTATACTTCAATATTAGAAAACAAACAAATTATGTCAATAATCTAATAATGATGTTTGTTTTTCTTTTCGTTGCAGGTAAATTCCATTGGAAAATAGAAAAAAATCTTAGAAAAATATAACCATGGATTTAAAGTGAGTCAAACAAGTTTCTTCCATTAAATACTAATCAATTAAATCAAATCTTTGGCCTAGTTTAGAAACTAAAAATTTCCACTGTAGCCACAAAAGCCGTTGTCATTTCTTTTTTCCATTGCGCTGTCATGTCATTAGCATGGTATTTCGTATGTATTTCAACAATTTTTACAGTATCACTGGAAAATGGGAAAAAAGAAAACCATATTCAAAACAATTCGGTCAATTACCAAATTCCCATATTTGACCAAAAAATATATTGTTCTCCTGTTCTCCTACTGGTTAACAAGTTTCTAACACGCAAAGTACATGTCACAAAGTTAGTTGCAAGGAGAAAAGCAAAAAGACAGTTTTTGTTTCAGACAATGTAAATTTGAAATGAAAGAAAAATATCAAGTGTTGCAACACAATGTTGTGAGTTAAGTTGTATTGTAGGCATTGTTACACTCGAGGGAAAAAATAGGGTAACATTTCTAACAAACCAAAAAAAAACAAAATTTCATGAAAATTAAATTAAAAAAAAAAACAATACAATTTTTTAATAAAAATTAAATTTCAATGAAAATTAACCCAAATGGAATTGTTTACCATATAACCTGTCTTAATTTAATACAAATTGATAATGCTATGGATTTCAGTATTTTTTCAATCGCAGTATTATGATTGTAGTAATCATGTTCATATTCAATTTCATTTCTCATATGTTTGCAATAATAACCATTCAAATCAAAATCAATTTTCAACAAATGGCAACAACAACAATAACAAAATTATATGTTCATGTCGAAAGTGTTAACATTTCCAACATGTAACATTTACCATGGCTAGCCAGCCAGCCATTCATACCATTAACCCAAATTCAAAATGATCTGAGAAAGATACAACAACAAAACAACAACAATCCATAAAGCCAGAAACCAGACTCTGACACATTTTTTGTTGTCTTTTCTTTCATTGCGGCTTCTAAACGTTTGTTGTTGCTTTCATTGAAAGTCTCGTGTCGCCAATAATTGCCACATGTAAAGTTTCGGCAGAAGGAAGAAACTGAAATGAAATTCGTTAAGAAATGGTATGCAGCAATAACGAATGCAAAAAAAAACTTAAAGACAGTTAAGAAAATTGGGCCAGCTCTAACAATAAACCGGGATCAGAAACAATTGCTTTAAGTTAAACTAGGTTATGGTAACAAAAATTACTTAAACAATTCATTTTTGGAAACACAAAAGGTCTTATTTTTTAAATTCTTTGGAAAAACAAAAGACTTAAGACGCATACCTGAATGTAAGGAAATAATTTAGAAATTAATTTATTTAAATTAGGAAAAATTAAATTTTCTATTAAAATTGTATTATGCTCAAGACTTGTAAAGATTGTGTCATCTTCCGTATATTCCAACTGAGGAAACTTATTTAATTAATAAAAAATAATGATTTGATTATGAAGAGCTTCCGTGCTTTTCATTCTCAAACATCTAAATGAAAGAAAAAAATATTTCACACACAATTTCTTCATTTCCCCAGGTCTGTTGCTCATTCTAATTAAAAATAAATTAAATTTTTGGTGTCACACCGAAAATGACTGCCAACAAACAGACCTTCTTCCACCCCAATTATCAATGATAAGAAAGAGAGAGGCGAAAGTACCTTCACACGTGTACGATGACAATGATCCAATTATCCGAAAAAGAAATTACAAGTGATTCCATGCATCCACCTGTCCCCCACCATTTTTTTTTTCTCACACACCACCATTAATTGCGCTTATTCTCTTCTTTTGAGGGAGTTGTCCACTAATTAGTGACTTCACTCTGTTGTAGCCCGTACAACCATCGCTGACGTTCAACATTATTTGTGGGCCATTTGGTGATGTTTGAGGGGGCCATAAATTTTGTCGTAATGCCCAACAAATGTCATTCTTAACACCCCATAAATATTGTGGCTGTTTTTTTAATTTATTTATTTCATTGTTTTTTTTTTTTTTTTTTTTTTTGCTTGAAATTAAAATTCATTGATTAACACCAAAATGAAGACGAACTCGAGTCACAACCATAAATTTTAACTGATTAGCACATCAATGTTATCTGATCTGATAACATGGACTTTTTGATTAGGTGGTATCCATGTCATTGAAATGCGTTTGCGGAATTGATCGAGAGGGGAAACGTGTGCCATTTTTGCAATGAAATTAGTGCAAATTTACTGTCTAAGTAAATAAAATTTTTTCAAAGACCACCAACAATTTTATTTTCAACGAGGTCTGATACACATTCCTAGATCGATTTGCACTTAAAAAAAAAATAAGGCACCTCCAAGTGTGGAATATTTAACAAATATTGGTCCACATACTACCAATCTTAAATGTTTCAAATAAATGGACACCAAAAATGAATATATGTACTTAATTTTGTGTGTGTGCCAGCTTTTTTATACCCTTCACCACACTGTGGTACAAGGTATTATGTCTTTGTGCATATGTTTATAACAGGCAAAAGGAATCGAGATAGACCCATGGTTCCTTTTGAGAATATGCATAGAATCACTTTCTGAGTCGATTTATGCATGTCCGTCTGTCTAACCGCCCGTCCGCCTGTCCCTCCATCCATGTCTTTTTGTGAACAAAGTACAGGTCGCATTTATGACTCGATTTGGATAAAATTTGGCACAGCTCACTTATTTGGCTCAAGGACGAACCCTATTGAAATTGAAGAAAATCGGTTCAGATTTAGATATAACTTCCGTATATAGTTTCGTCCGATTTAAGGTAAATGGGGCACCAAAGTCCCTATATCTCTTTCAATTTGCATGAAAGTTGGCCCTAAGTTCTAAATTAGGACCAGAATGGTGTGTGTTAAGTTTCGTGAAAATCGGTTCCGATTTAGATATAGCTCCCATATATAGTTTCGCCCGATTTTAGGTAAATGATGCACCAAAGTCCCTGAAAATCATTCGATTTGCACGAATTTTGGGATAGAGTAATGAATTAAGTTTAGAATAACGTGTGCTAAGTTTCATGAAAATCGGTTCAGATTTAGATATAGCTCCCGTAAATATTTTCGTCCGATTTAATGTAAATGGTGTACCAACGCCCCTATATATCTTTCGATTTGCACGAAATTTGGCATAGCGTACTGAATTGCGTCTATAATAATGTGCGCTAAGTTTCATGAAAATCGGTTCTGATTTAGACATATATATTTTCGTCCGATTTTATGTAATTGGTGCACCAAAGTCCCTATATATCTTTCGATTTGCACGAAATTTAGCATAGCATACTGTATTGAGTCTATCGGTTTAGATTTAGATATAGCTCTCATATATATGTTCGCCCGATTTTAAGTAGGACCCAAAATATGGCCATTAGGAACAAAACCTGCTGAAATCAGTATAACCTAACCTGTGACAGGTTTCGTTAAATCGGACCATACTGGGTATAGCATCCATATCTATATTCATCCGATTTTATGTAAATGGTGCACCAAACTCCTCATGTTTGTAATATTGACATGAAATTTTGTACAACGTACAAAAATTGTAACAAACGAATGACCTGTTTATGGATTAATCTAAGTCGGTTCACGTTTAGATAAAGGTCGAATAGTTCACCCAATTTCATGTTAATGGCCCTTCTGTTAGGATGCATTCGTTTAATATACCCATAGTGGTGAAGTGAGTATCACATAGTCGGCCCCGTCCGACTTTACTGCTTTCCTGTTTTTTTTTTTTTGTTTTTTGTTTTTTTTTTTTTTAATTTTCTGCTTTCTTTTGTCTTACATATAAACCATATATTTACCATTTTTTATATTATTACCCCTGATTGTTATTAATGTCATCTTGATTGCAATACAATTTCAGTACCACCTTCCAAATCTCGTCGATCAAGTGCAATTTTCTGTTTTTTTTTCTCCCGATTTATGGCTTTATTGTGGCCCACACAATTTAACCTTGATTGTAAATGAGTTTTAAATGATAAATTATGATCGATGTTGTGATCAAACGTGCCACAATCAAAGACAATAACAACAACATAATGACTGGAGTCATTAAAAGGAAATAAATGTAGAGGTCAAATGAAAATGAAATTTTTTGGGGGACCTCATAATAATTTGTGGCTATTTTATTAGATTTTTTTTAAGATTTTCTTTCAGATTTTTTTCTCTAAATGCAGTTTCATGCAATCCGAAGTGTACAATATTTTGTTATACTTTCACTATTGTTTAGTTATTTATTTCGTTTTTGTTTTTTTTTTTCTTCTTTTCCCTTTGTTTTAGTTTAATTTTTTCTTTGTTTTCCGTTTTTTTATTAAACCGCTAACAAAAAATAGAGAAGAAGATTAAATTTCATGGCTTGTTAGCATGACTGACCAAAAAATGGAATAATGGAGGAAAACAAAAAACACTTTGCAACAACAAAATGGAAAAACTAAATCAAAACAGTTGGAAAACGTTTTTGATTGTTTGATATTGTTTTTGTTGTCTTATCGTTTTTTTGTTCCTCTTTGGTATTAGCAATGCATTTTAAAGCATGAAATTTATTACAAAAACAATTACTACACACAATGTATGAAAAACAAAAAAAACAACCATATTGAGAAAATGCATTTCCAGACATAGCAGGGATTTTCAGTGGAAGTTTTTCTTCATCTAGTTTTTGTTGTTGTTGTTTTTTTTTATTTTTTTATTATTGTTTTCCGAAATGTTGTTACATTAATTAATGGGCCAATTACAATTGGTACGGAAATTTCCGCTTTTGGGCGGATATTTTATTATATTTGAAACAATGACCGGTGAAAACGAAAGACTCAACACACATACTTTGAAATGAAGGAAAAATTAGTTAAAAATACATAATTTTCTTATATCCCTTGAAAAAATATATTTTAAAAAATCCACGAATTAGCGAACTAGCTGGAAATGAAAAGATATCATTTAAAAAAATTACACCTTAATTGGATTTGAAAAAAAAATA